ATTGAAACAATATTTAATGCAAGAACGAATACTGTAGATCTTGTCGATTGCTCTAAATTTGATGACCTTTTTAGTCGTGCTTGCCATAGGCTAGACCGACTTTAGTTTTACCTTTTTGTCTATCTATGTGTCCATAGGCAACCCAAGCAGAGCATTTGAACTCAAAAAAAACTTTTTTTAATAAAATACATCTTACCTTAATCTTATGTGTTATTGATGTTATTTAACATTGCTGTGTGTGATTTTCAAAGGGATTTAGAGCTATTTTTAAACAAATATCACCATCAGTCATAAAAGACTACAGGGCTGGTTACAGAGCGTCCACACTAGTCGTCATTGAAGGCCGAATAAAATATCTTAAAACCATCTTGGACACTGTCCATCCAAACCATACATTTCCTTGTAATTTTCGAACAATTTGAAGGTCCATTTCTTACACATTATTTAACCAAAAGCAACCAAACTTTGGAATCTTGTTTATTTTGTGGTGCTCTTGCCAATTATATGATTATTTTTTTTAATTAGGTTAATTTAGACAACTAGTACCCAGTCTCCTGCTCGTTTAGGTAAAGGCCAATAAGCGTAACTTAGGCTTTTACAGCGTGAAGTTTTTGAAAATTGAGAAAGAAAGAATATCACTCCTGGATCGATATTTCTAGTGTTTTGACGTCGTTGTGCCAAGCCACCAGAAAAGAATATCGCGGTGCGTGAATGATAAGGTATTCTACGCCACAATTTACTTTCATATATAATCATATGATTGTCAGAATATTTCATTTATTTTTGGGGATACGAATTTTATCTTATGGTGTTGAAAATCTTTCGCTCTTCACGTATTCGCAAATCCAAGTAATTTCTCAATTTTACAAAATAGCTAGCCCGAATTCACGCTCTAAGAGCGTCTAGTCTTCTATAATGTTTACAGTGGAAGATCTCGTGACCAGACAGACGGCAAATCGCAATTGCCATCGGTATGCATGAGTTCTTTTTGATAAGGAGTTGGGTAGACGATGAGAAGATGTAAATACTTCTTCTTGGAGCATGTATTTATATATCTACAATAAGTCTTTCACAATATAACGTAAGTACAATACAAGTGATCAAAGCTATGATGTCATTCGATAAGCTTTAGGTGCAGTTTAGGCATACGGCGACATGATTCGACCTATCTTAGCATTGTGAGAGTCACCTCGATTTGTGCATCAATCAGGTCGTTGGTACCTGATAATCAACACATTTTGTTGGAAAAGCTGTTTTGATAAAAGCATTGATATTGTGAGGTAAGATGTTTGTGCCTCTTTGTTGTTTAAATAATAGGAGCGAGAGCATCTTTTGGGCTTATAATAATGTTAGTTGTTTATAAATATCTTTGATTAAATTATTATTCAGGAGTTATTGAGCTTGAACTTATAATATTTTATAAACACATTGAAGACTAGTCAGGGGAAATACGTACTTAAGAAAGCAAAACTCTAGAACACAGGGAGCCCATCATGTTGATCTGTATAAAGTGATGTTATTTTATGAGATAGAAGTCGTGAAATTATTCTATATTCTAATTTTGATGATCTGATTTGTTGTTTATTTCAACAGGATTTGAAACTGTTTTCATGGCGACAAGTGCACCAACGGCCGCTTCATTCCGTCAAGAGAAAGTCAATTACATTAGGCTCTCAAATCTTCTGATTGACATAGGAAGAAAAGTTTTAAAAGACATATTTGATTCGATTCACAAACCCGCTAGTCTCCATGGAGTACTGTGGTCAAGTCCTGTTCATAACACGCTGAAAAATCTCAAATCAAAAAGGGTTTTGTACACTCAGCAGTGGGAAACTCTGTATCCCAGCTCAGGCAGTGCAACATCTGTCAATTTTGATATAACACTACTGTTCCTTCTGTTGAGAAATGTTTGTGGACTGAAAGCTCCAGGTTCAGGATGGGATGATGCACCTTTGCCAGCAGACATAAGTTTGGAAGCCGATCTTGTGCGAATAAAAAGGTGTCGTAATAATCTAGCACATAACCCAGCACAGGCGTTACCTGACAGTGAAATGGAGAAACATTGGGTTGAGATGGAGACAGTGTTGACCAGACTTGGTGGGCATCGCTATTGGCCAGAAATCCAGCGTCTAAAGTTTGAAGCTGTTGATCCCGCAAATGAAAATATTGTACTCCTAAATGTATGGGAAGAAGGAGAAAGAAGTACCCTGGATGCAATACACAGATTAGAGAAGAGATTTGATCAAATTTCACTGAATACTCCACCAGGTAGGGCCAATTTGAACATTATTTTTGATGTAAAAAATATATTTTTCATTTTGCAATCTGTGACTGTTTGGGGACTCATTCGCCCCCCTCTTCCCCCTCTGCATCTTCGGAACCAATTCATCTACATGACCAAGACTGGCCTAGGGTGTCCATTGTCCTTTGAGTACAGTCTTAACTGTCCCCAAGGGATAACATGGGACAATCCTCAACAGTCCCTTGTCCCTTGGCTATACCCTGTAGTATAAAGGGTGTCTTTCCCAATCCCCTTGTCCCCATGGGAAGCTCTAGGACAATCCTCAACAGTCCCTTGACCATGAAAATTTATATATGGAAAAAATTAGATGATTCATTATTTGCCCTATTCAGACTGGGCTTATTTTGAAAAGAAATTTTCAGAAAACAGTCGGACACATCAAACATATTTTGTCGGGCTTCCTGTCCCTCACTTTTTGCTATACATGCATCAGTACTTTCGGAGAACAATGCTTCCGCCATCTTGAAAAGTGAGACCGGAATCACTATGTTGTGCCTTAGAACACATTTCGTACTTTCTAAGTCAACGTATCTATCATTGTATCGTATAGTAATAACTTGACATTAGCTGAGAAGTTTTTAAATCCTTTAGGAGTTATGATTTAGTGATTCGAAAAGTGGGACGGCCCCACTTTTCAAGATGGCGGACGCATTGTTCTCCGAAAGTACTGATGCATGTATGAGAATTTCGTTGTTGCGTGACCGGCAGTCCATCGCGTTTTGAGTTTTTTTCTAGAGTAATGTATACATCATCTTCATAAATGTTGATTATGTTGTTTAAATTAGTAATGAATAGAAATAATAAAAGAAAAAAAACTGTTATTTTATGGACTGCTGGTTCAAGTTCGCACATTGTCTCTAGTGCAACAAATTTCGGCGCGACGTTTGAGGACTGGACGGGGTTCCAGTCCGAGGCGTAACAAAGTCTACAAGACTGCATGATTAGCGATGATTGGCTGAAATTTACTTCCGACAAATTATGCAAGACCCTCGTTTTGGTTTGCACAAACATTTGGTATAAGACGGATAAGTCGCTATAGTCCGGATGTTAAGACACGAAAAATGCCAAGATTGTTCAAATTGGTAATAGAAGCATCAAATTAAAAGTAAGACCCAATCGGGATCCATTTTATTAAGGATTATTTGGAGGCATTAAAACTTGTGATCAGCAGTATAAATTGCAGGCTCAGCAATATATACAAAAACAAATAAGATAAAATGTCCTTAAAACAATATAAATAAAACCTTTTAATTATTCTCTATCATATTTCCATGATTTGTGTGTTTATTGTTCGTATAGATTAATAAATAAAGAAATTTTTAAATGACATTTTAGGCTTCCTGTGTAGAAAGGAACGCCTGGCTGATTTTTGTTATGGCGGTACTTACAGTACTGCTGTCTGTGTTATGCTTTTTATCTGGCTTTTTTTATCTGATTTTAAACATGGAAAGTGAAAAGAAAAACGCAGAAAGATGATTGCAAAATTGGTCTCTGTGTGCATTATGTCAAAAACAAACAGGGGAAAAGCTTATTAATCCACAAAAATGTACTTGACAAAAGGTGGGGTCTGGCTATGGTATGTTGGCGATATATCTACTTAAATTTCAAGACATGGGGGCTGTTCCTATTAGCGTTCCATTAGTAAAACTTGATGATGGTAGTGGAATAGAGTCTACACTACGAAAAAATGAGGCATGTTGGCATAAGGGTTGTCTTTTTAGTTTTAGCAACATGAAATTCGAAAGAGCAAAGAAGAGAAAATTGTGGAGGATGAGTCGGCTGACAGCAACTTGGAAGAAAATTCTAGCAATGTGAGCCCAATTAAAATGACAAGACTAAGAGCTAGTTATGGTGAACCAGCAGTAGATGCGGTGAATACGCAAGAACCTGACAGTAAATTGTGTTTCTTTTGCAATGGGACTGTGGGAAAAATGCATAGAGCGTCGACGTTTTGATTTGACTATTCAAAATGGCTTCCAGTCCATATAAAAGATCTTGTTCAAATTCAAGAAATGCAACCATTTGCCTACTCTAGGTTTGAAGAAGGATATTTTGTTGTACAAAAGACCCAGCACCATTTCTCAAAGATCGCACTCGACCAAAACCATGAGCAGATGAATGAGATAATCAAAGGAGACGGCGAAACAGTTGGGTTGACAGAGAATGAGGCAGTTCTGAAAAGATGGATGTGTGTCAGGTCCCGAAGTAGCTCGTATAGTGAATGAGTTTGAAGATTGCTGCTCAAGAAATACGAATACAAGTCACCTTCATCACGATCAGAAACCATCTGTTCAGAAGCTGTTTATTAAAGACGTAAAGTCAATGATAAGCGTAATAGATGATCTTGGAAATCCTTTCTAGGAAAACAATCCAGAACTCTTGGTTCTCGACACGAAAGAGATGATGTCTGACAAAGTAATTAACAGTGTCACCCAAGCTAAAGAGATTGGCCAGACGAAGTACGAAACTTATGTAAAAAATGGACTAGAAAATAGGACTATTCCAGTATATTTGACACCATTCAACGAACCAAAACCTGTGTCTTTTTGGTTAACAAGAAAAGCGCTTCAGTAAAGGGAAGAGTCTTTTACATAAATCTGCATATTCTCTATACCTATTTATCTTTTTATTACAAGCACCTTTTTTTCTGTCAAGTTAAAAGCAAAAAAGAGCAATAAAACAGTTTCAGTTTCAGTTTCAGTTTCAGTTTCAGATAGCAAACCTCAAGAGCGACAATAAATTGTTTTTAGGACTGTACATCGCCTGCCAGTCAAGACAAGGAAATATTGAGGATTTCTTTAAACACGAGAACAGTTCGAGCCCACCCTCATTTGGGAACGTTATTTGGAGAACAGTCTAAAGAGAGGTAATTTATCAAGTATGATGTCCTGTGATATTTATTTGCTATTATTTCATCCATATAATATATGATAAATTTGAATTTCAGGTACCCGTGAAGAAAGAGGCTTTGTAGTACGCAGTCCAGTATGTGATCAGGGAGCTATTCCGCATAAGTGGAAGGACTTTTTACGTTAAGATGAAAACAAAAAAGCACTGTTCCGTTATTTTGCTGAAATTGTGAGGTCACTCTGCCAATCTCACAGCTGCTAAAGTAGCCATTGTAAGCACATTTGGTGACGACGTTATCTCTTCTACAAGATTAGATACAGAGGGCCTCACCAACTGCAACCACGAGGAGGCGGATACTCGTCTATCCAATCCCCAGAATGCGTTAACAGATGACCAGCTCCATGCATTAGAAAAATTTATCATCCTTATGTCCAGTCGTACATCTACTCATAGCAGAGTCAATGTTGCACGTCAATCCTTATTTTCCCAAGGAATGAGCATCGAAGCTGTCCCACCTGTGGCGTCTANAAAATGGCTGCGTTTACTTCTAGCTCTTTAGTGTTGTTCGCGAAACATTGTTTTAATGCAGATCTATGATAGAAGGAACATATACTTCTTAAACTCCAATTGTGCATTATAGTTTAAACTTGGGTGGGCCTCGAAGGGGCGTAACATATTATTTTGTGCTACGTTAATACATTATTTTTATTTTTTTTTTGGTCACAGTATCCTAGTCATTCGCGCGCTGTGATCGGCTATAGGTCGGTCCGTATAGAAAAACACTGAAAAACACTGCCCTCGGTCTTTCTTCGCTGCGCTCGTTCCGTACTGTCAAGACCTTCGGGCAGTGTTTTCCTATACGGACCTCCCAGCCGGTAAATAACATAAATATAAGATTACTTTAGGTGAGCGCATTACTAAAAAAGATACTGCTTACATGAAATATGTTGCCTTTATAGGTTAAAGGCTGGCAAGTTCGGTTTCTTTTTCAAGGAGACTTAAAACAATAATTTTTTTGCTCTGGACCACCTGGGGTCACCCTGTCTCATGCAGACAGGGACTTATTAGTTATTTATAGTAATACTTACAGGTAGTGCGTCCCACCCAAGATAAAGAGTTTGGCGGATGGCGATATTTTTCCATCGGTACCAACTGGGCAATCTCCATCTGACACAACATACACAATTGTGTCTAGAGTTTGTTCTGCTGACAGCATTGATATTCTGATTTTCTCAACAAAATCATCGTTTTTTTCCCTTGTCGTGTAGCAGTCATTCTCAGCGATTTTATCAATCGGAACCTTGAAAATGTCTGGTCAAACGAGATAACAAGAGAAAATGGTTAATGGGAAATGAAGATAACAAATAAGATGAGAGAGTGCGTTTGTATACAGAGGTCAGCAAACTGAAAATAAAAAATAAACATACATTAAAAACAATCTGTCAATTTTACCTTTAGTTCCACACACCAAACGTTTCTCATTAGTGCTCTCGGCTATCATCTCATTGTACACAATAACTTTTTCGTCCCACTTGAGTATTTTCCTTGGGGTACGCGGGCTTTCTGGAGCTTGCCTTTTGTCTGAATGAAAATATCAAAGATAGTAGAGTTCTCGATCGCACTTACTTCGTGCAACTATACAAACTAAATCGTGCAACTATACAAACTAAATAGTCTAGTATTGAATTTGGTTATAAGTAAATCATGCATGCGGTACGAAAATCGTTCGAATATATCGCCCTCCCCCGATATACGTAAACAGTAAGGAACGTCACGGCTTATCATATAAAACGTAGATACGGAGGAAGAGTGTCGTCATAGTGTACGTAATCGGCTTGGTACATAGAGATTATCTTACATCAAGTATATACTGAAACTCCCAGGATTCTACTCGGCACTCTAATTGCTTTTATATAATCGAAATTCGAGTTGGACTCTTACCATTTTTATTTTCCTTGAAATTTTGTATCAGTTCCTCAACACTCGATCCTTTTATGAGGTTTCCTCTCTGCGTACTGTCATAAAGTTTATGGTCAAGTATTATTGTCGCATTGGAGACGGCATTTCCAAACTCGATAATGACATCTGAATGTTTGGGCTTTTTATGACCATATAACTTTTTTAATTCYGCCTTGGGTAAACTCTGGTGAAGCTATGTAGGTATATACAAAGAAAAAGAGGTAAGGCAAATGCAATAATTGGACCTATATAAGGTAAGTCGAGTGAATATCTTGCATGTTAACATAATAAAAGTGGAAGTCAAGGGTCATTTCAGCTTACGCTAAGATAATACCTTAAGTTCTTTGACCGGTCCAGGGAATACCTCTCTCGAGTTGCTGGTTAATTTTATCTTAAGCTGTCTCTCTCCAGTCCAAATAGTGATTCCGATTTCCTCTTTTTGCAAATACCACTTCTCGGTACCCTAATTTTAAGTACAAGCTTATTTAACTTTTAAATGACTGAAAATGCCGGAAGCTGAATATGCTTAAGATGCTTCTTAATATATATGTTTGCAAACATAAAACGGCTAACATTTAGCGTAATTCTTGTAAAATAGTTTGCTTTAAAACAATTTATAATCGTCTCAACGGCTTTCTAGTTACTGAGTTGGTACTTTATAAACTGTAAAAACTCGTAAATATAAAGGCCACAATGTGTCGACGCGCGCGCTATTCACCATAAAAACATACAGTAATCAAAGTGTTCAAAGTGTTGTTTTTTTTCACTCACCATTATCTCAAGAAGTCCCAAAAAGATCGAGAGATTTTACAGTAAGATTAGTACAGCAATCGGTGTATTTTCTCTTCATAAGCCTTCATCAAATACGTGATAAGTAATGTACGCGCAATGAGTTATGCGCGCGCTAAACGCGAGAGATGCTCGAGCTAGTTTACCGCCAATTCCTTAGTTTTGTGCCAGAAAAAAGGCTTTGGAAAGATCTAGAGAGAATGGCGCAATCTCTTTTTTTTTGACGCAAAAATTGCGTGATATTTTACCTCTATGCGCGCTTTTGAGGACTGTGAGAATGGAGGCTCCTGTTGCGGTACGTTACAAAAGTAAGTGCAATTAATACAATAATTTAATCCATATTGCGAGGTTTGCGAGGTAAGTGTTGAACTAAGTAACATGATTCGCGCAACTAATTCACTGCTTGCTTTTTTTGTGTAGAAAGACACTACAAACGCAAGCATTCACGAGAGGATGACATCTCTTGTTGTTTGGGGCAATATTCACAGTAAGTGCAGGGAATGACATGAAATATCTTCTGTCTTTACAAAGTTTACTTTCAATTTAAGATTGCTTTTCTTGTTATACGCTATCATCATGCTATAACTTTGATGTATAACATAACTAGTAAAATGTTGTGAATTGACTGGTGGGTGGCCATGCAACAACTTTGAAGTACCCTACCACATCCTTGGAAAGATATATGCATTATAATAAACAACTTTGTGCATTATGGGATTTATGAAGTCTATATGTATAAACCTGTTTTCCATAATGTGTCATAGATTCTCAATCAGTAATGTATTCATCATAACCTTGCTTGATGTATAGCAAATATTATTTGATTTCAGGTTACAAAGAGAAGAGATAATCTCTGATTATCCTAAAGAGGTCCAAAACCAAAACCAATTTATATTGAATTTGCTTTATCAATTTGGTAAAAGTAACTCTGTGAGTGAAGAAGAGCTGGAGAATGTAAATTTTACAATTATGGGTAAAGTCATTTGTCAAACCTGCCTGTGCATCCTATTCGATGTCAGTGACTGGAGGTACGAAAGAGTGAAGACATTTTATCGGGTAGGTCTACTGTATGGATTATACCAAAAAACACTGTTAATGCCTGAGCAAACCGTTCACTTTTTTGCATTGAAATTTCACTAATTTTATAAACTTTGAGGGGTAATTTTAAATCTTTTTGTGCAAAACTTTTGTTGAATGTGTTTACAATCATTATTTTTTTTTTGAAAAGATAAACAATTTTGTTTAGGTTGGTGCTAAAGTTATTACTCATGGGAATAATTTTCGGCACAACTGCAGTAGCAGCAATATTCTTATGGGTGAGGCTTGGCTGCAAAATCATTTAGAAACGTTTAGTGAACCAATGCCACACGAGAACATAGCTCATATACATGTCCCAACAAAGAAGTCTGTATTTGAGGACAAGCCAGGGTATATACAGATTTCTGAATCATCAATGTATAAACATTGGGACCCCAAAGTTAAAATCCCAACCAAGGTGTGTTTTCTTAAAAATATATATTCAAAGTGCAATATCATTCTTAACTTTGTTATAAAAAAAGATGAGTATTTTTTGTTTACGTAAGAATATCATTTGATAATTATCTTCAAGCATTAACAGCTCAAAATTTATAGTTATTGCATTAGGTCTTGAACTATATATATATTTTAAATCAAACAGAACCAAATATTTGCCCGATGTCCGCAGTGCCAGTCTCTACGGAAGAGATGCCTTGAAGCTGGAAAGTGTTCAACTGCCATGGCAGCACTGAAAGATGAAAGGCAAAAGCACAAAGATCTATATATGTAAGTTTTAAAAGTATTAGAACAATAATATTAAGTTATGCAAGTCTGAAGTTAAWTTTTTTAATTTTTTATATGTGATGTCAAATAGAATCAATATCTTGAATTTCATAAGAGAAACTTTCTTGTAGGGCTGAAAAGCAAAACTACTACCAACGGCAAATAATGAGTGTCCATCATCCAGATGACATGTTATGCATAATATATGATGGAATGCACAAGGAGAAGACAAAGATTCCAAGGTTTTCTGCTAATCCATCGAAAGATCTAGAAAACTCATTTAGAGTCCCATGTAACCTTGAAGGGTTTATTGTCCATAGACAAGGTATCGATTATCATCATGATGTCAGAACATAATAGAGATTTAAAATGTGCATTTTGTTTTCCAGTTTCTTGTAAAATAACATTATTTTTGAGTTACATGTAATTCCATTTTTTTCACATTCATTATGTATCATTTTGCCAGTGCTTGCCCTAATCAATAATTAAATTATTCTCACTGATAAATTCTGTTTATATTACCAGCAATTGAATATCTTTAATCTGATGTGTGACACTCTTTTTTATAGGTTTGCACATTCAGCCAAAACAAGGATATGGCTTTTTAAACATGTGCTACCCTGATAATTCTGATCTGATACTCAGCTGTTTGCTGCACTTAGTAAAGTCAATCGAAAGTCCCTTTCCAAGAAGCATAAGCCTCCAGTTCGACAATGCAAGTAACAACAAATGCAATGAAGGAGTTGCTTTCTTTGCATACCTTGTTGCAGAGGAAGTATTTCACAATGTAAGATCAATGAAATGAAAATATAAAAAAAAATGTTTGAAATACTGTATTTGTCTGTCATGCAGTTGCAGCAGAGAGGAAATATCACATGTACATGTAATTTATCAACAATCTTGTTATCATTTATGTCAGGTTTATGGTCACACACTTATAGTGCACCACACCCATGAAGACATTGACAGGCAAGTAATCATTTAATGATTCCATCATTTAGCATTGATTGGATAATAGAGTGCTTGTCAGTACTAAATTCAGGCTTGGACAATATCAGACTGGATTAAACATTGATTAGTATGGCTATATAGATAATGTCTTAAGTCTACTTTTAATAAGTTATAATTATTATATGATGACTGCGCATGCCAACCATCAATTAGATGTTTAGAGATTATTATATATCGAGAGCTCTAGTGAGGATATGGTTGTTTCAGTTTGCTTCTCATATAATGTCTTACTGAGGACAGAAACAGGTGTAACTATTTGTACAAAATGTCCAGCTTTCATGTCATATAGAAATTGTCATCAGCAAACCAGAGCATGTGTATTAAAATTTTATACATTGTTCATGTAAATCATAATTAATTCATTTTCAGGATGTTTGAAAATGCAAACCAAAAGTTCAAAAAAGCTGATATGGTCACATCCAATGGTGAGATATACATGATTCTATATTATATTAATAATAATTTTAATAGTAATTAGAAACAGCTTAGCTGTCTGCAGTAGTATGTACATCTCATTGAATTCAATGAATTCCACTATGACCTGTGTTCACTCTTATCATTCATAGCAGACATTCTCATAACAAAATACAATAGATTGATTCAGCTTCTTCTGCAAGTGAGCATTTTATTTCATTGGCTGACTGCACATTTTTGTCATGATATTTTAAACACTAGAATTGTCCAATCTGATGAAGAATGTGCCATATGTCAATGAAGTGTGCAGAGTACCTTGTGTCTGGGAAATTATGAAGTTTTTGGCACCATTTATACGTACGATTCATGATTTTGCAAATGTTCATCACTTCTGGCTTCACAAAAATGCAGAAGGTAACATTTTAAATTTATATTTTCTTGACAATTTGGTTTTTTGCTTTCAACCTTTCTTTATTTCAAAACTGTGTAAACTGTTTTTTTTAACTATTGTGTCTAATTTCTCAAATATAATATGATTTTTCTATGGTGGGTATGAAGTACAATGAGTGCATTTATTAACAAGAAGTAACACATGTTTGTATGAGTTAGAATTACAACTGAAATGGAACTACCGATTGGTCGCTGATGGTCCATATCCATGTTGTTTATTAATGAAATTGCACAAATTAGTTAAAATAGGTTTCATTCAATGCATTAAGACTTTTTTAGTCTAAAAGTTGAAATATGACATATTACCCCATTATCATCATTAGTTATAAGAATTAATTATTATTTATAGAAATAATCATATTATAATAATTATACCATACATGTATAATTTATAAAAATTTATATAATTTTTGCTTCAACTTAGGAAATGTAGTTCTACACTTTAAACGCTATGCAAGCGATCAATGGCTACCTGACAGCACCAAGCCTGACACATTCCTAAAGAACGAGGACAAATATGGTGTTTTGATATTTAAGGTGAGTGCTGAATATTTAATAACAATTCTCATCCCTAACTGACATGCAAGCACCAGCTGCAGGATAGGGAACACTTTTTTGTGATAACACTTACTTACAAATATTGTTGCACGGACTCGCACTATTAACAAGAAGCTTTTGAGATAAATTTCCAAATCATCCTGTTCTCAAAACTCTTGTAAAATGATTAATAATATGTATCATATGATTATTTCTTATAACTGCTTTTCCCTTATAATCTTGAACTAACAACAAATACACTACAGTTTCACATTCCATGTTTCTTCTCACGAATTAAATATGTTGCATTATTTGCATCTACAGGAAAAACCAGTTGGTGAACCAACCTTTGTTACACCATCATCTCCACTTTCCAATTCGGACATGGACAAGCTTAAAACAAGCACAACAAAGTATGTTCTTTTTTTTATTTTTTGCAACTTTGCTTGCAGCCTAGCTGCAGGACACCGTCAGACCAGGCAGATGTGAAAAACCAGACCGTGCGCTTCTCAATCACAGCGCGCGAATGGCTAGGATACCGGTTTTAAAAAAAAATCATTAAGCAGTATACTTAAATACCACAAGTCACCATCAACAGTGTCATGTTGCATTAAAGCTTCAATTTAAGTTCCAATTTAAAGTGACTGGATAAAACTGATCATTAAGATCATCAACAGAATTTCTTTCGCAAAAACGTGGATGCCATTGAATATATACCATTTGCAGTATTACATGAGTCATGGAATAAATGTAGCTGAACATCAACTTTGTTCGCAGGCTCCTTCAACATCCACTTCTTCGGGATTTAAAACTTGAAGAAAGAAGACTTTGGTGGAATGACTACCTGGCAGGTTAGTTACTAMATTAATAATTACCAATCACAGCTGGAAAAAATGCTTCTTTGAAAATATTGTCCAATTTGGAGGTTGTTTATAATTTTAGATCAATATGGCTGCTTTAAGGGCACACATTATCAACAACAATTAAATGGAATTTATTCTTTTATATGGTTGTCTTCAATCTTAATTGTCACCCGATAATAACATTGATGCTTTCTTCTTCAACATAAATCAATGATGTTTCATATACCTTTTATTTGATATTAAAACTAGATTGCAATTAGTCTAAGTTTGAACATCAAACTTGGATGGGCTTTAAATGTGCATTAATCATAAACTTGAAAAATAAGTACAAATCATGAATGTTTTTGTATAATGTTTTTGTTTGTTGTCTGTTACATTCGTTAGGATGTTTATTTGTACCAGACCAAACAGAGTGGCCGATACCTATGCTACGAGGTAAAAGGCTGCACCAAAATGAACTTGATTCTGAGGCTGCTCGGACTGCCATTGAAAATGTACAACATGAAGAGGAACCTATGCCACTGGTAAGATGTTAATTAAGTTATATTTTTAATAATATTTTTTTTATGAAGTTACAACATAAATATTTGCATAATGGTATTGTACAGACTGATTGCATTTCTACAATGCTTTTTATAAAAAAAATATGATATTGTTCTTCATTAGAAAAGTCTGAATAAATGACTGATTAGTCATTAGCATGAAACACATAATAATTTGCATAATCCCCACATGATTTGAATTGGGTGGTAATAGAGCAAACGCAGGAAAACCATGGAACAAAACCAAATTATAAATACTAACAAATAGCAGCACATCTTCAATGTGTTCTGTTTCAATTGATACTAACAAATTGTCTCCAAATAGCCGTTATTTCCTAGTGGTTAGTTTGGCTTTGTTACACGGTATTCCTGTGTTTGGTCTAAGCCAATACATACAAACAAACACAATCCTATGCTATGAGTATTATTTTTTATATATTACAATCCTATGCTATGAGTATTATTTTGTATGGGATAATCATTTCCATATAGTTGGCATTCTTTACTATTCTAACGCCTCCGTTCATCTTTCCAGGTGTATTCAGGACCTTATATTGACCCTAAAAAAAGAGATCTGTTAATGAGGGAGAATGAGGGAGTAAGAGAACGGTGTGAATGGCCGGTGAAGAAGGTAGTAAAGGAGAGGATAAACCAGAGAACAGTAAGTTTATCTTTTAATCACATATAACACTAAATGTGTTCAACACTTTGCTGTATTAACTACTAAAAAGTGAGAACTGAACAACAGAAAACATTCAAGTAGCATAATTTAGTGTTAATTAATTATGTTGCACAGTTTTAGRGTTAGTAGTCTATACTGTCCCATTACTCAAAGATATTGTCAGCCAGCTGAGAGAATGTTTATCTCCAGCGACATACGACTAACTGTATGTTTACTTCAACGGGATTATGAACATGAACCAGTCACTCTGTGATAATTACATCAACCATGGCAGTAATTTCTGATAATTGATTTCTGCAATGGAGAATGAATGTAGCTTTTGCATGTATCTAATGTTTCTCATTAGATATTTCATGAATCCCAGTTGCATACAGCTATTTTGAAGTAATTCTTAAACCACCTACACTAATATTAATTTATATCAAAATGACCTTTGATATTAAAATGTCACGATTGAATTGGGTCCCATGATTTTTTTAAGGCTAATTGATATRAATTTTAGTGTATTATAAACAAATTGACTGTACATTTAAAAAGTATTATCTTACATATACAGTGTAAATTCTAATGGCAACTTCATTTCACAGCATAAGAAGCAGTACTTAGTTGAGTGGAAGAATTCATGGGTCGAAGATGATCAAGTTACAGAAAAGTGTAAGGAGATGTGGGAAAAGCGGAAAAGAAATGCAAGGTAAAACGCCTAAACAGTTTTGATTTAACTTTATTAAAATATGATATTTTTAATGCATTAGAAGAATCAGAAAAATTATCTATAGCACAATAACATCACAACTTGTACATTGTACCAAGTAGGAACATTTAAACTGAATATAACTAAATATTCCTTTTGAAAGTTGAACCAATAGAGTTAAATGAGCCATTAAACAGTAAACAGATTTTAGTAAGACAAATTTCAAATTAATATAGTGTTATTGTTTGTTTGTTTTGTAATAACTGTATTGTTAATTGCATTTGCATTGTATATTTTGTTCCATGTAATTAATAGCCTAATAGACTTTTTTTCCCCTTTTTGTTGTAGGTAGTCCAGCTCCATATCTCATCATAATTATCATGGCATCAATTTCATTTGCAAGATTATRTATCTTTTAACTAACAGTGACTTTTTGTAGTTTAGCTTACCTTTGTAAGTAGAAAGTAACTACTTTTTCCATTGCATTCTCAAGAACCAAAASAAATTTAGGGCATTTTGAGGGGTGTGTCTGGTATTTCGACTGTAAACATACACTGATTTTCGATGGATTGATTTTATCAGACTGTGCTTAAATTACGTTATTGAACGGCACTATGTTTGACCAATTTAAGTAGCATGACCAGGCATGTAAAAACCTTTAAACTTATAAAATTTAATGAGGCTAGAGTACTCAGTCGTCGAAGAGAAAGGCAATTTCTTTTTTGAGCCCCTCTTTTGATGATCTTCATCACAGCAGGATAACTTAATAAACGGTAGTTTGCATTTACCTTCAAATGAAGATCAGTAATAACAGTCTTTTGAAGTCGTAATAGCTTTATTTCCGAATGATTTACACAATAAAAGGCAAATGAAAAAGTTCTGTTTCACCGGTGAACTCCTGCAACGCTTCACTAGGTTATTTTAGTGGCATGAAAATGTTCGCAATGCCTCACGGTTGTTCATGCTGAGCATGAAAATGCTCGCAATGCCTCATGGTTGTTCATGCTGAGCATGAAAATGTTCGCAATGCCTCACGGTTGTTCATGCTGAGCATGAAAGTGCTCGCAATGATTCACGGAATTTCATGAAAATACACCCAACGCTTCATGGGATTTGAAGAACGACCACCGCGCATGCGCTTAAAAATCTGTACTTGCCCAATCTCCCTCGAACAAATAGCGTCATGCAAATTAACGTAGTTGCAGCATGTAAAATTTTAGCTCATGCCCTATAAACGTTTTGAAACACTTCTACCATGTCGTGTACGCTTCAACGTGATTTTTGCCGTTAKACGCAYGAAATATTTTGCTTCATSCTAAAAATRATGTTAGATGAACGCTCAGCTTCAATCCATGCCGGAAACGCGCATTTTTATAACTTAAAATCATATGTTTCAACGATTTTTACACCTGTGAGGCATGAATCRTGCCTTTTCTATGCCAAAAAACGTTCTTTATGTGTAAATGGCATGAAATCGTGCAAAATTCATGCCAACAACTGAAMATTTGCTAAAAACGGTCCTAAATTTTACTTTCCAACCAGTTTCCTGAAAGTAACATATTTTTAAACACCAACTTAAGTTAAAAAAACGAGCCAATTAAGCTGTAGAAAATGAAGAAAAACGATTAAGTCAACTAACTTAAGCACGTAGAAACAGATTTTATCAAATTCTATTTATTGTTGAGATTTAGTTCATTAAATCATAATCTAATAAAGAACAGTTAGACAAAAGGAAGCGCACGTTAAGCGTAACAGTACTTTCCGATTTTATTCTGCCAGAGTTGAAATAAAAAAAATAACCAAAGCGCGAAATAAGACGGAATTAACTCAGTAGACAAACAAGCTTCAAAACACTGAAACACTTGACGATTCGTGCATCACAGTTCTCAATTGGTTTGATACCACAGCATTTGCTTTCTTCACAAAATTATTGTTAAACAGCAACTTTTGTTAAACAAATGAATACTAGTCGTCGCAAACCGGAATTTTTGCATTTATTGTTTAAATTCATTGATTGGATCACAATCTGGATAAGTCAAATTTGATCAAACGAAGACAGCGCACGAAAGTCCACACAATACTTCTTCCATCGGCCTTATACCTCAATCAGTGATGTCACTTATCCAGTTCTAGGACTTGGCATAATTACCGTAGTAAAATATAAATAACTCCAGATGAAGAAAAATTAGCTTCACTGAAACTTTCGTGCATTTCTTTTAATGTTTGGTATCACACTTCAGTCTTCCTAAGAACAACTTTTGTTAAGAAACAAGCCCATCAACTAAGATTTCGCAAACCGGAATTTGTTCACATGTTTTAATTTGATCACAATCTGGAAAGTCAAGTTCTATAATCCAAAACGAACGCACGTAATGCTAAACAGCAGTAGTATTCGTCCAAGTTATATAGTGAGTGCCACTTAATACTTATTATAATTAGTGAATCAAATGTGTAAATAACAGCAACTAAAATACCCTCAGTTGTAGGAAACTTAGCTTCAAAACAGTCGTGCATCACTGATGATAACATACTTCTTTTTTTAGAAAGAGTATTGTATACCACAAACCTTTATTAAACAAATTAGCCAGAAAAGCTTTATATTTGATGAAAAATACAATCTAGAACAGTCCATTTCGAGAAAACCAAGTCAGAGCGCACTTAGGGCAACATCTCGTTTTTAAACGTTAGTCGGTTCTTGTTCGTCATGGCAAATATTTGCTTCTTGTCACAATCAGACTATGATCCTTACAACGTGACAAATCTTCCAGATTCAGTCAACCCGATCCGCACCGCCATTTCTATTGTCAATGGTGTAGCGTCTCCTCTAACAGTCGTTATAAATGCGCTGATTTCTTGGTCAGTTCTTGGAGATGAAGATCTTAGATCCTCTTCGTTTAATATTTTACTGGTGGCTNCAAAAGGAAGCGCACGTTAAGCGTAACAGTACTTTCCGATTTTATTCTGCCAGAGTTGAAATAAAAAAAATAACCAAAGCGCGAAATAAGACGGAATTAACTCAGTAGACAAACAAGCTTCAAAACACTGAAACACTTGACGATTCGTGCATCACAGTTCTCAATTGGTTTGATACCACAGCATTTGCTTTCTTCACAAAATTATTGTTAAACAGCAACTTTTGTTAAACAAATGAATACTAGTCGTCGCAAACCGGAATTTTTGCATTTATTGTTTAAATTCATTGATTGGATCACAATCTGGATAAGTCAAATTTGATCAAACGAAGACAGCGCACGAAAGTCCACACAATACTTCTTCCATCGGCCTTATACCTCAATCAGTGATGTCACTTATCCAGTTCTAGGACTTGGCATAATTACCGTAGTAAAATATAAATAACTCCAGATGAAGAAAAATTAGCTTCACTGAAACTTTCGTGCATTTCTTTTAATGTTTGGTATCACACTTCAGTCTTCCTAAGAACAACTTTTGTTAAGAAACAAGCCCATCAACTAAGATTTCGCAAACCGGAATTTGTTCACATGTTTTAATTTGATCACAATCTGGAAAGTCAAGTTCTATAATCCAAAACGAACGCACGTAATGCTAAACAGCAGTAGTATTCGTCCAAGTTATATAGTGAGTGCCACTTAATACTTATTATAATTAGTGAATCAAATGTGTAAATAACAGCAACTAAAATACCCTCAGTTGTAGGAAACTTAGCTTCAAAACAGTCGTGCATCACTGATGATAACATACTTCTTTTTTTAGAAAGAGTATTGTATACCACAAACCTTTATTAAACAAATTAGCCAGAAAAGCTTTATATTTGATGAAAAATACAATCTAGAACAGTCCATTTCGAGAAAACCAAGTCAGAGCGCACTTAGGGCAACATCTCGTTTTTAAACGTTAGTCGGTTCTTGTTCGTCATGGCAAATATTTGCTTCTTGTCACAATCAGACTATGATCCTTACAACGTGACAAATCTTCCAGATTCAGTCAACCCGATCCGCACCGCCATTTCTATTGTCAATGGTGTAGCGTCTCCTCTAACAGTCGTTATAAATGCGCTGATTTCTTGGTCAGTTCTTGGAGATGAAGATCTTAGATCCTCTTCGTTTAATATTTTACTGGTGGCTCTAGCAGTGACTGATTTTCTAGTAGGTTTGCTGGTTCAACCCATCTTTTCATATTACCAGAGTTGTCTTGTAAACAATTGTTATTCACCTTGTACCTACACGCTTTATATTCTGTCAGTCTTGACCTTCGCTGGTCTGTCAGTCTGCACGTTGACATTGGTGAGTTTGGAAAGATACCTTGCTATTGAACATCCCAACTTTTACCGCAAGATGATTACAGCAAAGAGAGTCATGTTAGGAACGATGATTTACTGGGCAATCAATCTAACTCTTTTGATAAGTGCTACAGTTTATGGGATAAATAACAACAGAAACCTATTAATGGTCCCACCCATGATATTCATAGGTCTCAATAACCTGGTTATGTTATACTGCGGTATCAAAGTACAAGTGACAGCTTACCGCCAGCGTAGAACCATCGCCCTACAGCAAGAATCAGTTCAGCAGCCCGACGAACAGCAACGACAACAAGAACGACTCAAAGAGTACAAACGAGTGTTCATGACGACCATATTAGTGATCGTGTCGATTCTATTTTACGTTCCTTTCATCATAATCGCAGTAATACAAGCCGTCAAGAGTAAAGATGTCATGAGAGATCTAACTTATATCGACATACCTATCTGTCTGACATTACTTCATGTCCAGTCTCTTATCAACCCAATCCTCGTCTCACTGCGTCTATCTTACATTCGTACAAGCATCAAAAACAAACTAGTAAGTTGCTTTAATAGCTACTGATAAGAAGACCGAAATAATCAAGATGATCTGCCTCATTGCTTTTGGAGATTTTTTGAGAATTCTAAAAGTACTGAAACATACTTAACAGCTGGTCTTTACCGTAGATGGTCAAGAAAAACGAGCAAGTCTACTTAAGGAACTAAAGGCAATGTAAAAACGGGAGATCTAAGTGTATATTGAAAACAAACTGACATTGCTTCAATAACCATGCATTATACATATAGCAACTTTTACTCGAGTCAAGAAAGGCTATCAAACGGCAAGTGATTTAAAAAACTTAAAACAAAGAGAACATTGTTCGTTTGAAATTAGTATGTACATTATAAACTATGTAGAGTCAAATACCCATTGCGAACGCTCCGTTAAGCGTAAAACTCTCTATATAGCAGATTTCTTTCTTTTTCCCGTTTTCGATTTCTTCCATTCGTACACTTTATTCACACTTTCAACAAATGAAATATTCTCGCAGTCAGACAAATACTAAAATGTCAAATTCGGAAAATTTGTTAATTTAGGATATTTGTGGGCAAAGCCAACCAAATACTTTTTTACTTAAAAGGGTGATATATATCACCCAATGACGACACTACACTTATACAGTACCAATTCTCTGCATASGAATTACTCAACACCTATCCTTAAACTGCTCTCAAGAAGTTGGAATTTTTTTGTTAGTGAAGTTGTTCCTCTTTTGTTTTGCTTTCGACAGAAAACAGTATACGGAATTTTCTCCAAGGTTGTAAACTAGTCATTTCTTGCCACTTATTAGTTTTTTGTTTTACACTCGCTGATTAACCTCATGGATATAAACTCGTTACTGATCTTTAAACACTTTAAATAATTTATTATTTATCTTATACTTGAACTAGTTGTACAGCAAATAATGCATTCTTGGTTTTAGACAAAACCATCAATTTTATCGAGAGCCAAATATAGGAACAGGAAAACTCTAWTAAAAGAAGGGGGTGTCGACMTCCTTCCTTATAAACAAAATGGTGACCAGTAACAATATTTTAAATTCCCTCACTCCCCCCMAAAAAAGAAAAAAATTCAATAATGTAGTAAACAAGGGGTGCCTATAGCCCTCTTTATTAAAAGCCCAAAGCTAATCTATGAAGTCATGTCATTTTGGTATGTAAAGAAGCTACTATAAAGTTACAGTCATTTTCAAAACTTTTGACCGCTAATAACATATACATCGTTATTTTGGCGGCATTATGTTATTTGCCCAACAGCCAAACTGTTTGAAAGTGAACATCCCAAAGTACTTGTCATGGCTAAAGTGGGTGTTATTTTAAAGCTGATCATGGCCCATTCCTGTATGYTGGCAGTCAGTATTGTTTTACAAATGACTGTATCGCATGTAAATATTATATCTATTAAATCCATGCTTTATATTGTTCCTATTCAGCTAAAAACAGAAKATTTTTTGTTCTTATGTAAAAATACAACTTATCAATTACTACCAATTGTAGTAATATTGGTTATATTCATAAATTTAAACATATGTATATAGCACATGTGCACGCTTTCTTGAAGAATTCTGACACCCTTTGTCCAGTTTTCATAACTATCAAATTGTTCTTTGAGATCATATGATACCTTCGTTGATATTTTTAATTTGGTATGGTATTTTGATATATTTAAATATGACAGAGGGGTTCAAATTTTTTCAAATTGCTGTACACTCYAGGGTAGGGTAAAATGGAATAAAGCTCTGTATATATAGTAAATGTTCTCATTATTGACGCACCAAGGTTGATTGCACCAAGGTAGTCAACAGGCTCTTGTCCAGGGGGTTCATTAGGGGTGACTTCAGCGTTTYCCCATTCCTTGARGTTTCAAGACTTACGTTAAGTTTATCAATTGGGAAATTGCACAAGCAAACAGTAGTACGATCCTAAAATGTGTTACACTACTGATTTGGCAAATAAAGTCTCATTTTAAAGACTTTATCTGTTTAGAAAGGAGTCCAAAGAACTTGGTCAAATGCACGCGCCCCTGGTCAAATACTGTGGTGGTAATCTTGGCTGGTTTCTTTATCCAAGATTTCCAGACATTTTTTTAAATTTTRATTTGTTCTTTGTGCAGTGTTTTGCAGGCCCAGGGATACATATCGTACYATCCACTAGGGTCCATTCTTTTTTCTTGTCCAGTTTAATGATCTGGCTTATTTGCACCATAGTTAGGACATTAATCAA